TTTCTCTCTCTGATTGTGTTTCCCCCCCCCCCCCCAAAAAAAATTTTTTTGGCATGCTGCTAATTATCCCAGTGTGTAGTCTGTGCAGATGCCTTGTTTGCACCCATCTGCACACAGGGTTCTGGCCATGACCATAAGCAAACGGGTGGCAACACTCACTCATCTGCGTGCCCCCCCCCCGATGCAGCACTACTGCATTCACATAGTTTAGAGGAAATTTTTCATGTGAGCAAATGGGTGATCCAAAGACCTGGTGGACCCTTTTCATGGGAGAAGAAACATCTCCAGTGGGAACAGAAGGATTGCTAAACACACACCAGCATTTTAACACCATCCCTGCACTATCAAAGATGCAGCAGTGTTTCAAAGAGGCTCTCAGCCTTTGGAACTCCCTCCCACTGGAAGGCAGACTTGTCCCATCTTTGCTGTCCTTTCACAAGCCGGCGAAGACCTTCCTCTTCAGGCAAGCTTTCCTTTATGCAGGGGGTAACCTTTTGACAGCCCAGTGTTTTGGTGGATATCTGGATCGATCAGCTGGCATTTCATTTACTGGCCATTTTGCCAACAAAAGAAATAAAACCGAATAAAACCAACAACTATTGTCCTATAGTGCCATTTAGTGGACTCCTTAGTACATTGCTTTTGATTTTTCACAATATGGACTTTTCACAGTTAACAGCTACATTCTTTATCCTTCTGAAAAAATTAACCTCTTTGATATCTTACACATGTCACGTAGCCAGCTTCGACAAAGATTAACCATAAAGAATTCTTCAAATCTGTTATGAAACCAGGCCAATAAGATTACTGGACTACTGAATGACAATGAATTTGGAAGAATTTTGAAGGAGGAGCTTGAAGAAAAGCTACTGTAAATGAACCTTTCCATTTCCCTTCACTGCTGAAGTTACAGGGGAAATATTCATCCCTCATGATCCAGGCAAGATAGGAAAAAGGTGCTGAAACAAATAGTTGCCAGGAGTCTCTAGACCTTCTCAGCAGATTCCAAACAGGCACATGCCTACATTCGGATCACATTCACTCGTGGTTTCTTCAGGTTGCTTTGGATTGTTCTGGTATTTCTTGTTACAGATCTGAAGAAAGCATCCTGGTATTAGTGTTTGCATAGGAGGGCATTTGTTGCTGGATATCCACTTGGTCGTCTCAGTACTGCCTGCCCATATACATCTGGAGTTGCTTTAGCCTTGCCAATACAATTACCCTTCTGAAGTCACTTAGTGCAACAGGATCATGGCCAGTGATGATAACTGTATCACATTGCACTTGCTCTGGTAACTCAACAGTGGTGAAGGTGGATCCTTCTTTACACCATATATTAAGTACAGTGGTGCCTCGCTTAACGGCAATAATCCATTCCAGGAAAATCGCTGTTAAGTGAAAACATTGTAAAGCGAAAATAAAAAGCCCATTGAAACGCATTGAAAACCTTTCAATGTGGTCCAATGGGCTTAAAACTTACCGTCCAGTGAAGATCCTCCATACAGTGGCCATTTTCGCTGTCTGTATAGCGAGGAATCCGTCCCTAAACACAGCAGGGAGCCATTTTATTTACCCAGTGGCCATTTTGAAACCTGCGATCAGCTGTTGAAAAATCATCATTTTACGAAGAATCGGTTCCCGAAGCAGGGAACCAATCATCGCAAAGTGAAATTCCCCCATTTAGACCATCGTTTTGCGATTGCAATTGTGATCGCAAAAAGATAGTCGTAAAGCGGATTCGTCATAATGCATGGCAATTGTAAAGCGAGGCACCACTGTATCTTGGGTTCTGTTTAGTAGACAGAAATAGACAAAGAAGGGAAGCCGCCTGCATTCCTTTACTTGCAAGTAACTAGCAAAAAGATTGTCGTAGAGCGGTTTCATCGTAATGTGGGGCAATCGTAAAGCGAGGCACCACTGTACAGCTTCTGATTCTATAGAGAAGAGCCTTCCTTCTGATAAAAAAGCCAAATATTGATTTGAGACCTCTTTCCTTAGGAATTATACAAACAGGCCTAAATTATGCATGACCTAAAAGAGACCTACAAATGAAGGAGTCTGGCAAGGCTGTCTGTTAGCTGTCTGTTAAGGGCTTCTTTCTCCTAGTTACTATGCAACATAATTAAAACAATAAAGGTTATTGATCAATAAAATACATTGTCGCATAAATTTCAGCAATTACAACACAGGATAGTAAAACTAAATGATGGTTGCAAAGGCTACAACCTTTGTGCACATTATGAGATAAGCAGGAGGTGGAATTGAAGGAGTGCCACATTTATGGCCATCTTTCCTCTCCTCTATAGAATTAATTCAAACAGAAGCTGGGGTGGGGGGGGATATTGCTTTTGCCAGCAGCATGAACCCTCTTTCTTTCCTCCACCCATCTCTGGTACCATCTAGAACAAGAAAATAGAATGAGGAGTAGGATGCAGCCCCGTCCATTTCAACTGCTTGCTCTTGAGGTGCAGGTTATGCCTGCCTTAGGTTCACGTGCTCCAGCCTAGGACATGGTCAGCTGTCTAGATTAGGAATTAGGTTTTCCCATTAGTGTATTTTCTAAATAAATCTCAATAAACATTTTTCCTTCAAACTTAACCGCTTCCTGGTTTATTCCTCCAGAGAACAGAAAGAACCAAGTGCATTTTAATGCCCTTGGGGATCATTGGCTGTAGTTACTCTGCTAATGTGCTACCCTAACAGGGCTCTCCCAGAAACAGAGAAAACCCCAAGATGCATTCTCGAAGATGCCGGCCACAGAGACTGGCGAAACGTCAGGAAGAACAGCCTTCAGAACACGGCCAAAGAGCCCAAAAACCCCACAACAACCATCAAAACCCCAATAACAAATCCAGAGGATGGCCCTAAATCAGAAGCAATGAGAGGGCACAGAGTAACAGCAATCCTGAGGAATATGCACTGCATGGAGTGTGAAGTTGCACATTCAGCAGGAAAGGAACACAACCCTGCCCTTTAATCTTTTACCTAAAAGGAGGGAAAGAGGTTATTCAGAGTCCTGAAATGGTCTCTGAATGACTCTGAGGCCAGACTAGGTTATAGTCAGCTAGCATCTCTTTCTCCTTCCCTTCATTCACTCCTCTTTTGGCCTATTTGTCTTATCAGAATAGCCTTCTTTCCTGTGGCTCTTCCTCCCCCTCTTTCCACCTTTTTCACATGCTGACGATTTCCTGCTGAGAGATTTATAGGAAGAGAAAGCCACATACTTGAAAGACTGGAAAGTGAAACTCACTTCTGTCACTAAGTACTTGACTTCTTGTGGGGGACAAGGTATGGCTGCCGCTTCCCTGGAGGGCCTCTGCGAGGAAGCCACTTGCTCCATCTGCCTGGAGTATTTTGAAGATCCCGTCACCATTGAATGTGGGCACAATTTCTGCCGAGCCTGCCTGACCCAATGCTGGGAGGAATTGCAAGAAGGTGTTTCCTGCCCTCAATGCAGAGCAAAAGTCCGAAAGCTCCTGTTCTCCAATTGCCAGCTGGCAAACATGGTGGAGATCGCCAAGCAGCTCCGTCTTCAAGAGGAAAGGCGGGGAGTTTGCGAGCAGCACTGGGAGCCCCTGAAGCTCTTCTGCAAGGATGATGAAGCCCCCATCTGTGTGGTTTGTAAAGAGTCAAAGGCGCACCGGGATCACCCGGTGGTTCCTCTGGAGGAGGCGGCCCAGGACTACAAGGTAGGAAGAGCGCCTGCAGAAATGAATTGGGGTCGGGGAGTGTGCTAATGATACCTCTGGATTCTTGACCGGACATAATTTTAAAATATCTTATCTGTAATACTTTTAAAGAAATACCAGGTTTAGGATTTGGAGAGGGAGATAAGTAGCCCTCCCCCCCGCCCCATTACATGGACACCAATGCTAAGTAAGGAGTAGACCTTTGGTCTAGATGGGCGGGATATAAATCCAATAAATACAGTAAATAAATAAAGTACTGTGGGAAGAAATCACCATGGATCTGGAGCAGAATGGGAACGAGTGGTGGATCCTGCCTGTTTAACTGAAAGCACAGACCACCACTTTGGTCTTCTACAAGATTCATAGAGGCCAGCAAGACATGATTTCCACTGTGTGGTTTTCCTTACGAATGAATTTGTGTGAGAGAAGATTTGGTTCAGCCTTTGTCGACGCCATACCTTGTCCTGCCGCCTTCGCCATCTTTGGAGACAGTGGTTTCCAGCTTTCCTCCCTGGAGCCAGGCTTGCCATCTTTGAGCATGTGCTCGCCTCTCCACTGATTGCAGGCACATGGGCAGAAACAGTCAGCGGAGAGTTGGTCAGCAACTTCTACAGAGAGAGAGAGAGAGAGAGAGGAGAGAGGTGGTCTACTACTTTTTTTAAAAAAGACCTACCTCTCAGCTGAGCTGGCCAGTCTCTCTCTCTCTGTATGTGTGTGCAATCGGTTTCATCGTTTAACGAGGTAATCGTTAAGCGAGACACCACTGTATTTTTGTTTATTTTCAGCAGGAAAGAAGCAAAAGTAAATGGACGCAACTCTGCCAGAACGAGCGGAGGAGAGGCATAAGGTGTTTACACAGAATATACATTTTATAAGCTTAGATAAAAACGGGAGGCAAGGGGATGTAGAGAAGGAGGGGAGAAGGGAGGGGTTGCTGGTGCCTAGGTTCTTTGTGATCTATCAAGCTCTCTTATCAGCAATCAAGGACAAATTCCTCGTTGTAAGCCGCCTAGAGTGGTCTATCGACTAGATAGGCGGGATATAAAATAAATAAATAAATAAATAATAAAGCTAGTTACTTGAAAGTAAAGGAATGCAGGCAGCTTCCCTCCTTTGTCTATTTTTGTCTACTAAGCAGAAACATGATACAGTGGTGCCCTGCATAACGAGCGATTCATTTAACAATGAATCCACATAGCGATGTGTTTTTTGCGATCGCATAACAATGTCTTTAATGGGTAAACATCGCATTGCGATGATCTGTAAGCGTTTCGCTTACCGATTTTGGCATTGCGATGTCTTTTTAAACAGCTGATCAGCGGTTCCAAAATGGCCACCGGGTAAAAAAAATGGCCGCCTGCTGTGTTTTCGCACCGCTTCCTCACTTACCAGGCAGCGAAAATGGCGGCCACATGGAGGATCTTCGCATAACCGTGAGTTTAAAGCCCATAGGAACGCATTAAACATGTTTTAATGTGTTCCTATGGGCTTTTCTGAAAGGGACGTGGTGGCGCTGT